ACACCGCGAAAATGATGGAAAACTAGCTTTTTAAAGTGAGACAGATTATATGAGTATGGAAACACAGAAGAAGGCAGAGCATTCCACAGTTTGGCTGTGTGAGGAAAGAAGGATGTACTACACTCGGGTTATTCTAGTGTGACCGACATCCACAGAGAAAAGGTGGGCCCCGCAGGCAAGACGTGTGTTACGAGCCCATGGCCTTGCCTGAGGTATACAGGATGCCAAATCCACCGAACATTGCCCCATAAAGTACCTGTAAAAGAGAGAGAGTAAAGAAACATTGTGTCGAAGAGAAAGGTAAAAAAGATTGTCAACTAAAGGAGGAGAGTTTATAGGACGAAATGCCTTTTATTCCACCCTATTTAACAGCTGAACAGAAGAAGAGCCACCCCAGATATGAGAGCAGTACTCCAAATTAGGACGAATGAATCCCTTATATACTTGAAGCAACTGCATAGGAATGAAGTAGCTAAGGCATCTGTACAGTTAATGCTGTAAATAGTAAAGTAATGGCCATTTCCAAATTGGAAATAATTCCTAGAATAAAAATTATCGTAGGCAACAGTGAACTTAGTGGAAATTTTTGATAATTTGGAAGTAACATTAGCTGTGATGGTAGATGTATGGTGTCATGGTTTTATTGTAAAGTCTAGGTTGTTGATGTTATATGAGGTTATGATATATTGTGTTTCAGATATTTCTTACCGTAGAGATCGATGCCTTCACACTGGTTACTTACAGGATATTATGGTGTATCTACGTAGAAATTCACTATACCACTCGACATTCCATGGTTTATACTTGATAAATGATGATTTAATGAGTTCCATTAATTTCCAACATCCATCTAAGTTATTGGTTATACTTTGTCATAACCAATCAGTCATTACCTTTAGTAATAATAAGATAGGATCACAGATACGGGCAGAAAATTGCACCAACATTTATTTGGCAAGTTTCCATACAATGACTTACAATTTGCATGGATATATGAATCACTCATATTCACGCTGTAATAAAATTAATCTTCTAAAAGAGGGAATTTTCATCTAGGGGACACATGTGATTACTCTACTATGGGTATGACTTGACAAAGCCTTAATTCTTCAAGTGATATATTTGCTGCCAGCCTGGATTGCTCTTGTTCCAACCAGGCTTCCGCACAAGAACTTCTTTCCACGGGCAATAACACATAGTCTCTCGTCACTGACAGTCACTGTAGACGGTTGTCGCGGCAAGGAGAACTGGTAAGCGTGACTTGATTAACCACTTACGTTCAGTAGGCCAGCCTGAATTGCTTTTCTCGCAATCAGGTATCCACACGAGATATTTCCATGGGGATAACAACCTGGGATAGAACAATTAGTCTCCTGTCGATCACGGTCACTGTAGACGGGTGTCGTGCAGGAGAACTCTAAGAGTGACTTGATTAACCATTTACTTGAGGTCTGATAAGCCAGCCTGTATTGTTCTTGTCGCAAGCAGGCATCTACAAGTGATATTTCCATGTGGATAACAACCTGGGTTAGCACACTTAGTCTCGTGTCACTGACGGTCCACAGGATGGGGTGGCGGTGGAGGACTCTGTATGGTGTCCAATTTCCTTCAGGAGGGAAAGGGTGGGGACGACGTCTTAACTAACTCATGGCCTAGGGGATACTACCCAAAATGTGGTTTTTTTGCGTGAGGCGATGAACAGTACAACACTGTCTCAATGGCCTCCCCCTATAGACTGGCTAACATACCACTAATGGAAAAAAAAAATGTCATAGTCATGGCCTTATCTCTAGTAAAACAAACTTTGGAGTTGGTTGCGTGGGTAAGCCTAACGCAACCCATGACATATGGAAGAAATCAAAACAAGAATAAGGCACGTAAAAAAGGCATTTAATAATCTAAAAGACTTAATGAAACTGGACATTAAGTTCAATTTTAGTAAAAGGCTGCTGAAAGGCTTTATATGGCATGGGTAAGAAGCATGGACACTTTCAGCTGAAGAATTAACATATAATTAATGTTTTGAATGTACAGTACCAGGTGAACGGTCAATAATGCTATCGTCATGCACCTGCATGGTGGCTGCTATGTTGTCCCCGAAACATATTTAAATCAGAGTGTTTACTTTGATGTGTTAACGATATATAAAGTGTAGTTGTTAAATTATTAGAAAACAAAAACAATATTATGGCTAATTATAAGACCTATAGTTTTATATTATAAAGTAAACAAGGATTAAGAACCAAATTTAACCTACTGCTTTCCCACAAACTCGTGGTGGATGATGGCATTTATATTTTTAGTTTAATTTTGATAAAGAGGTAATGTGAAGAAAATCAATAATATTGCACTAGAAACTAATGTTTCACTGTAGGAATTCTTTGGTTTTCTCACTGAGAAGAATTTGATAATTTGGTGACTTGTAGTGACCTATATTACTAACTTTACCATACGTGTTTTTCTGTCACATGAATATCAGCTGATGTCTATGAGTGGTTTTAACAGACTATAGCAGGGGTGGCCAACCTTTTGTGTGATGTGATTTACTTTTGCCACAGTTAACCGGATGCGATCTAACAGCATAATATTCACCCATAAAACCCCCTTCCCATTGCCATAAAATAAGCAGATTCGTAGAGAGAGAGTGAGAGAGAGAGGGGGGGGGGGGAGGTGCACAAATAATATTTTTCAATAACTGTTATGATATATATGAACATAAGAATGGAGGAAACTGCAGCAGGCTTATTGGCCCACACTGGGCAGTCCCATTTACACCCAACCCCTATTGCTCATATATCCCTCTAACCTATGTTTGGTAACTTGTTCCACTCATCCACTACTCTATTTCCAAACCAATGTTTACCTATTTCGAGCCTAAATCTAAATATGTCTAATTTAAAATCATTGTTACGAGTTCGCTCCTGGTTGGATAGTTTGAGTTCCTTTGCAATGTTCCCTTTGTTCAGCCCTGACTTCCATTCATACACCTCGATCATATCGCCCCTCACTCTACGTTTCTCGAGGAAGTGCAAATTGCGAAGGTTTAACCTGTCTCTTTACTCAAGATTCCTAATTCCCGGGATTAGTCTTGTCATTCTCCACTGAATTCTTTCCAATGATTCTATATCCATTCTGTAATACGGTGACCAGAATTGAACTGCGTAATTCACGTGGGGTGTCACAAGCGCAAGATATAGTTTTGAGATGACCTCGCTAGTCTTGTAACTAACACTCCTGTGTATGAACCCAAGTACTCTGTTAGCCTTGTTTCGAGCAAATACACATTGTTTACTTGTCTTAAGATTCCTACTTATCATTACTCCTAAATCTTTCTCGCAGTTGGATTCCTCAATAACATCGTTGCTCATATGGTATCTGGTTTGCCTGTTTACATCTCCTATACTGAGTACTTTACATTTGTCCACATTAAATTTCATCTGCCATTTTTCAGACCATTCGAAAAATATGTTTAGATCTTCTTGTAGTTTTGTGGAGTCATCGTCAGATTTATTTACACGTCCTATTTTAGTGTTATCAGCAAATTTACTTATGTTGCTGTCAACGCCGATATTTATGTCGTTTATGTATATAATAAATAATAATGGCCTGAGTACTGAGCCTTGAGGAACTCCACTACTGTCGTTGCTCCAATGGGATTTAGTGCCGTTAATGCTCACTCGCTGTTTCTTGTCCTATAACCACACCCTAATCCATTTTCGAATATCTCCGTTAATGCCATGAGCCTCCACTTTTCTTATAAGTCTTTCATGGAGGACTTTGTCGAAGGCTTCGCTAAAGTCGAGATATACCACATCATAATTGTGCCCCTCGTCCACTGATTCGAAAAGAGATGAAAAGAATGTTAATAGATTAGTTAGACATGAACTCCCGCTTGTGAAGCCATGTTGGGAATCATTGATCAACTTGTGCTTCACCAGGTGATTTCGAACAGAGTTTGAAATGAATGCTTCCAGTAATTTTGCTACAATTGATGTTAGACTGATTGGACGGTAGTTAGAGGATAGTGTTCTATCTCCCTTCTTGAAAGGCTTTATCGGTATTACATTCGCTATTCTCCTGGATTCTGTTGGTACTACACCTCGTTATTTAATCTGACTGTATATATATATATATATATATATATATATATATATATATATATATATATATATATATATATATATATATATATATATATATATATATATATATATAGATAGATAGATAGATAGATAGATACATAGATAGATATACTGAATATTATAATTATACACACAAGTCTCGAATTGAACCCTGGGCATCGGCGTGTGAACAGGAATCGCTAACATGGCATCACAGGACAACACTCACAGTCCTAGGCTTTCTTGATTCTTTTTTCTCACACATAGCCTGTTCATTCATCTTATTCTGAAGCAACGTGGGCTTCCACCGGGGTTCTGTGTTTACAGGAACAGGTTAGAGACTCCGGCTGTGAAATAAAACAAAGCCTAGGATTGCTTTCGTTGTCCTTGTGGTGCGGTGGTAGCAATCCCTGTTCACAAGCAGAGGTTCAAGGTCCGATTCCCTTATAATTTTTTAAAGAGTTGATTACACGGGGAACACTGACAAGGTTGTATGAAACTTTTCATTAATATGAATTGTTATGATCTACAGTATATGTACACGTTTATGTCCAGACAGAAGTTTCTATATATATATATATATATATATATATATATATATATATATATATATATATATATATATATATATATATATATATATATATATATATATACAAATAAATCGTTATCAGTATAGCCCGCCGGTATCTGACTGTATATATATATATATATATATATATATATATATATATATATATATATATATATATATATATATATATATATATATATATATATATATATATATACATATATATATATATATATATATATATATATATATATATATATATATATATATATATATATATATATATATATATATTTATGTTCTAGGTGAGGTGATGTTATCCTTCGAATATCATATAATAATGCTGGCTGCCATGGTGATGAACGCTGCTCCTGTAATTAGCCAGGATGTGGGTGGACCCGTGGAGCAGGTGGGCGTGGATGTGGGCGTGATGGTGAGTCAGGTGGTGGAGCACCATCTCATCGGCTGTCACCTGGTGCTCATCTCTACTACACCACACTCACACGTCCTGTCCATTTTGATCAGGTGAAATTATATAGTTAACTCTTGAATGGTCGGGAATACTTGTGGAGTCATTGGTTCCCTCTGTACCATTTTGTCCGTTTCCGAATTATATTAGTAAAACATTTTGCTGGTTGATTGAATTTGGTAGTGATGGGAAGCGGCATTATTTGACATATGGTATAATCAATAGCCCCGCATGAGCTTCAACCCAATAGTCATATAAATTCATTGACTTCATCCTTCAAACGTTTTAAGTGCCCATACCCTCCAGTTTGGGACCTCTGTATCTGCGGCCACAGCTCTTGATGATCTCTTAACACTGTCTATCCTAATGCCTCAGATTTTATTCAATTCCCAATTTATTCAATACCTCATCAGGTTAACTTTATCCACCTGGGACCTAAACTGTAGGTAAAAATCTTCCTGTCTCTTGTACATTATTTTTCCTTACAGTATTTTAGAACACTTTATTCCATCTGTGTGTGTGTGTGTGTGCGTGTGTGTGTGTGTGTGTCAGTGTGTAATAATTATAATAATAATAATAATAATAATAATAATAATCATAGACGGTTTATTAATAGAGTTGCAGCCGGTGGCTAAAAATATACAGACTTACATTTGATTTAGACATAATGATATAATATGCATTGAATACATTTACAGGGCTGTACAGTACATAAATCAGGAGGTGTTTATTATTTTAACAGTAGATGGGATGGTGCTTTTCTTATATCTAACGGTGCGGGCTTTTATGGGTTGAATTTTGTTGTAGTGGCTGACTGAGCGAGGTGGGTGGGGGACTGCCGGTGGCAGGAGGTGGCGATGACGAGGGTAGTGCAGTAGTCCACTGCCAAACCTTGCTAGTGCTGGTAGAGGTGGTGGACCTCCATGGGTATACTAAAGTAAACTTTGTTTCTCAGACACATGCGTTTAGCTGTAGAATCTTGCGTGGTAGTAGACGCAGGATCAGTGCTCTCCCAGGATCAGCTGACCCAGGACCACCTCCTGCAGGGAATCTGGGGAGACGCCAGAACCACCTGCCGGGGACTCCTCTTCGACCTTTCTTCCAACATTAATACTCACCTCGTCCTTAGGTAATTTTCGAATGCATCTCTCTCTCTCTCTCTCTCTCTCTCTCTCTCTATATATATATATATATATATATATATATATACACCTGTATATATATATATATATATATTATTTTATTTTTTTTGTGCATGGAATATACAAGATACGAGGAAACGTCGTTTTTATTCATGAGTCACTCTCTAAAGGTTTCTTGTGTCGGCTAAGTTGTGGAAGTTCCCTGAGACGCGGGTGGTGGTTGTGGGTGGGAAGCCAGGAGTGGGGGACGTCCTCCTCCACCATATCTTTCGAAACACCGTCCATGCCCTTTATCTCGCTTTCTCTGACATCGCCCCTAACACCCCACCACGCCTGGGTAACTCACGCCTAAGGAAGAGTCTTCCACAAGAAGGTGAGACGTTACTAGCTGACGTATGTGTTTATTTTGCATCCAAGGAGATTTCAGAGATTGGAAGAGACAACACGTGCACTCTCTCTAAGTTCAGATAATATTTTTTATTTCAATCGAAATCTTCGCATAAACTTATGTATTGTCGTTTACTTTAGGTTTGGTATAGTAAAAAAGAGACTTTGACGTTATAAGTTCAGCAAGGCTAAAATAATACGAAATTCAAACGGTTTTTGCAAGGCTAGCACTACTCGTTATGTATGTTTTACCGTGTTCTAAAGTGGACGGCACTTTAATACTCACGAACAATAATTGACTGTTTTCCAACTTGGCAGCATTAGTAAGTGAGCGTGTGTGGGTGTACAGGCGGTGTCTGTACTGCAACAACGGGGAGGCGGACGTCCAACTTATCCAAGACTGGAACCTCACCTCAGGCATCTTCCAAGGTAAGGGTAACAAGAGTAGTATCAATGATAATTTAGTAAAAATAGTCGATATATTAATGAAGAGCAGATCACAGTGTGTAAATAGCATTAGGAGCAAATAGTACATACTGTAGCTCACAGAGCTGCTGTGAAGGACGATTGGTTGTGAAAGTATTTTTACTATCGATTAATAATTGTTTACACTAATGGCATTATATTATTTTGTTTGGAAACCTTTGATCCTTGATTTTGCTTTGACGTTGACTAAAAAACCCAGTACATATTCTCAGGACAAGGTTATCCATTTGCGACAATTTTACAGAGATCGGATATAATTATGGAACCTAGAATACGAACAGTGGCATATTTCTATATGATATCTGTTTATACAGATCAGCTGCAGAATTTCAGAGGCCACAAGATGCGGGTCGTGTCAGTCCCGGTTTTCCCTTACATGGACTACGTGCAGAGAAGCGACGTGCGTGGAGGCATTGTCGAACCCGGAGACTCAATCGACACAAGACTGATCCAAAGTTTCTCAGCTGTCCTTAACTTTACGTAAAAATCGCACATCTTGCTTATGTAAAAGAAAATGTTTAAAATAAGTGATTTTTATCGATACTGTACTCGTATATAAAGTAATGTACTGTATTGCAATAAAATCTATTTATTTTTACAGGTATGTCTCGGGTGAATATGCTCTGAAATCATTAGAGTCCTGTATATACCAGTATATTTAAGTTAATTATTGTTATTTACCAATCCCACAACCAGCTTTGACATATACGGTGAGCCTGACCGTTCCTTTGGTGATGAGAAGGACGGCAACTTCACCGGAATGGTCGGCCAACTCCAACGGGAGCAGTCTGATTTTACCACAGTAATGGGACCAACAGTAGGGCGCCTTAAGGTGGTCAAGTTTCTCCGGATGTATCCTTCTGATCTGATGGTTGTGACGTCTCTGAAGCCTTCACTACTGCCAGCACACCTCTCATTCATACGTCCGTTCTCAGGTTCTTTTATAACAAATTATCTAGTAAATTTTTATTGTAAGACTCCATTATGTTTAATTTTCTACGGTTTCCTTAGTTACTGCACCATAGGAACACTGTTATCCTCTTCACGATTTTACATATAACTGAATCAAATATATGTACACCGCAAAAAAATATGTTAGGAGGAGCATCCGGCTGAAGCACGAAGTTCGTTAATAATTGGTCAATCAATATCAATTTCCCATCAGCAATTAAGGTTTCCATATGCATTGTTCTGCCACTTCCTTAATCCCTGATACCCGATTTTTCCCTTATATGCTTATCAACATTCAAAATCTTACTTCTCCATAACTTTTCGCTTGATAACAGAGAAATTTATGTGGAGTATAGTTTGCTTATTTTTATTATTGTTTTACTTTGGGGTGAATTATTTTTTCCTAACTTACCATTTTTTCCTCCAAATATTTTTTAAAGATAAATCATCAAATTATAAACCAAGCCAAATATAAAGAAAATATATATGTTAAGTTATTCACAATATGTGATTGCACCATTAGTTTTTGTTTAATAGTATCGGCTTATAAATGGTGGAGCCTTAGGATTAAAAAAACTCTTTTTAAGATACACGCCGGTAAGGGGCGCGAGAGCAACTCACGATTGAACCTGTCTCACTTGTCGGTAACTGCACTTACATTTAAGGTACACTGGTCCTGTGATTAGCTAGTTGAGAAAGGTGCCAGATACTGATTTTTACCAAGTAATTGGTATTACTTTACACCAAAATATTATTTTAAATACTTTTCTAAAGCGTTTGCTACGTAAAGAGAAGAGCCCTCTAAATGAAGGGGGGTAGAACAATCATGCATAGCGACATAAATAGTACGAATTACGCAGTGAAAATACGTTAGTAAATTGCCATAGGCAAAGCTTTCCTCAGGGATTTTTCTGAATATCTTCGTAATTTTCCGATCTTCACCGCATTTTGAGCCCCTAAGTTTCATCTCTAGTCGCTATTAGTTTCTCGGGAGAATTCTGAAAAATCTTATCACATCTTATCCTCTTACACATAAATAAACAATAGTTATTTCCCTGACCTTTTTATCAAGGAAACATCACTCTGTGTGTCTGTCTGTCATGTTAGTTGCCATATTGTCTATTTGTGCATGTATGAATCTTTATTTTTGTCACCCTCCTGTATTTCACTGTCTATATTCGCCGTGTGTCTATTGTAGTCATGTCTGTCTATCTGTATGTATGTGTCTGTCTTATATGTTTTCTTTGTCTTTCATAAGTCTGTCTATCTGTCTCCTTGAATCTGTCTGTATTAAGTCTATGTCTTTTGTTTGTCCGCTTCTCAATCTCTCTCTCTCTCTCCATTTTTATCCGTACTATCTCTATCTTTATTTATATCTCTCTCTCTCCATTACACTACTCATCATATTTAGCATCTTTTTCTTCCTCATTAAATAGGTGATTTTAATATGGTATTCTGGGAACTTTAAAAAACACATCCCTCCATTCATACCTCCACCTCTCACTATCCCTCTCTCCCATCTCCTTTCCTCGCTCGCCTCTTAAGTATAATAATTCTTCAGTCTCTCTTCTTCTCCCTTTCCATCTTCTCTGTTATTATCTTTTTATCTCTTCTCCTTTTCCTTGTACAGTCAGCCACAGGAATAAGTATACACTGTGGCCTCGTAAGGTCCGAAAAAGCTCTGGTAACGTTGAAACTGTGCATCCGGACGCATGATGAAACTCAGCTCCTCCCCCCACCTGTTATCTCTTACTCTTTTCTGTTCCCCCTTCTTTATTCTTCTGTTTACTCATCTTACTTCCTTTACTAATCCAAACAACATGAAAAAAGTAGGCTAAGGGAAAAAGTGGGGGGGAGGAAGAGGGAGCCATACGATATCTGCAATCGTCCGGCTGACAGCCTACAGCGACATCTTTTGCCGGCTTAACTAAAATGGTTAATTAATGCCTTCCTAAGGAAACCATCGACATGGGACCAGGTTTGTTCCACTCGACGAATTTTTTGCGATTTTTCCACCAAATTTGATGATAAACGATTTTGCCGTTTCGGCTGCCCAGAACACACACACAAACAGAAAGACAGACAGACAGACACACGGCTAGTCCTATAGTATATTATATATGTAACCGGTCGGAATTTACTGGACTTTATTTTCTCACTTGACTTGGAGTAAGATTGTACCATCGTACGATATGTTTTCCCATGTTGAGATGGGGGCTTGTCTTTGGCAGCGCCCGGTTGCCAGTCACCAGCTGACGCTGTTAGAATAAAGTCTACAAAGAACGTGGTCTATGACTCCAACCTCTCACATGGCGCAGTGAGTAGGATATGTCCGGGCCCGACACGCCATTACAGCCCTGACAAGAACGCTGACATGGCCCCTACACGTCCACGATTCTCGACGCCCTCAAGGGGACGCCAGGGCTTCTCTACACCGGCGGGGGACACCAAGCGCGCCCAGCAGCAGGCCATGAGTGCATTGATGGCTCAGATGGCGTCTCTAGTTGCTGGCGGCGGTCATGCTTCTATGCCGGTCATGAAGCCCTCAGCAGCTGTCGCACCAGAGAAGTGTGAGGCAGAAATACCAGCAGCTGCGTTTAGGACGTGGAGGCGGTCCATGGAGTCATGGGTGCTGTTGAACGGCC